AAGGGTGCGCTGCATCCTGCTAAGGGTGCTCGGCATCTTGTGCTTACTTCCTTGCGTACGGATGACAGCTGCGTATGACTTAATATATTTTCTCGTGCTGAAGGGAGGTGGAGAAAAAATATATAGCGTGACCTTCCACCTGTGGGGACCCTGCTGGTATGCCGGTAAAAAATACCCAAAGGTATAAAGGCTGACGTTCAGAGTGAATGGGAACACCCATGCACCTCGCAGTGTGTGAGTGTTGTCATTCACTCGGAACGCCAGCTTTCACGTCTTTCGGTAAAACTCATTATCTTAAACGCCCACCCCACAAACACTCGACAAGAACATTTCCGGATAGAAGCAAGAATGTATCTTTCTGCATCAATGTGGTGAGGGCAGAAAACAATCACGCAGATCAAGAATGAATATGACATCAAACACAAAAGGCGCAAGTGGCCCATCCAATGCAACCAATCACGAAACTCACACGATGTTACGCTTTGCGAAGTGAACTACTTTCCCTGTTCTCTCTCCAAAACCATGCGTGGAAAAATGCGGTCGACAAAATATCTTCGTTCGTTGGCGTGGCCCCTGACACTTATCTACCAATTCGGAAAGGCACATATTATTTGCCGGACAACGTTGGATCCTCACGTGTAGGCCATGAAGAGCCCGTCCAACAGCCTGGTCCGGATGAACTCGCCGTTCTTGCTGTCCTCCACCGTGAGAAGTCGAAACGCCTCTGCCCGAACGAAACCCGCGCTGTCGCCGCCCAGCGCCAGCAGCTGCGGAACCACATCCACCGGGTTGACCTGGCGCGGTGTAGTGAGATGTGCGAAGTCGCGACGTGCGAAACGTCGGTAGTGTGGATTGAGCGTTCACGCCGCCGGTGTGACACCATAGACAGCAGAGGTAACGACGAAGATAAGAGTAACAACAACAACAACGACATGTAGCCATTTGTCCTCTTACTCGCCGTGAAGACTTTCAAATAAATCCCGTTCGACTGTAGTCATGCCTCGAACGGAGTGGTCTTTCTGTGAATGTAACTGTACTTGCTGACCAACAACACGGGAACCGCGTGTTCCAAGGTGGTCGTTCAGGCGCATCGTTTCGGGTGCCCTCTCACCAGTCCTTGCCGCAACATCACCCCCAGAAGAGAAATCGCCGCCGCTCGTACCACGCGGTTCCTGCTCCCCCCACCCCGAACGAACGAAACAGACACACGCACAGGGAAACCCGAAGGGGTCGGATAGAGACGGTTAAGCAAAAACACACAGACCGTTTTGAGAAACAGTGACGTGATGAGACACATCCAAGGGGCACGTACCCTTCGGCAAGGGGGTAGCACACCAAATGTACGTGCCTAGGCCAGGTGTGTCGAAACAACACCGTGCACGGCGTTCCTCCATACGCATCCAGTTCCGATGGGCTACTACATACATATACGGAACAAAAAAAATAAGGTCAGTCTCCAAAAATCTCACAAAAATAGTATCTCTCTGGGACACACCCTGCCTAAATCTCTCACTCTTCAAAATCACTTTTGAAACGTGCAAATTCGAGACGTCCTTGATGTTTGAGATACTTACGAAGGACATGCCTCTCTCGGGCGGAGCGTCGCAAACACGCGAGAGAATCACACACACAACGTCAGCGGCGACGAGATATTCGTCCACCTGTGGAAAAGGCGGGACAGGACGGCTGCGAGGTGCATCTGCAACACCCCGCCCACGACCGAGCTCTCGCCGTCCTGGTCGCCTTGGACGCGCTGGGCGACGGTTACACCTGAAACGGAACGGAGCCCGGCGGCACGCATTAGCAATGTTGAGACTGGCGAATTTTCATTGGTCATCCGGAGTCGATTTAAAAGACAGCAGCCGTCGCGAGGATACTAATCTTGGTTATAGTAGGGGGCACAGGGTTAGGGTTGAGGATCGATAGGGATAGGGATAGGGATAAGAAACCCTATAGTTTGTACATCAAAAAAATAACACAAACCTCGCCAAGGAGGCTGGCCAAAAAGCATACGTACATTGGCCGGCAGTGTACTATTTAATAGCTTGTTTGAGCAACCGTGAGCAAAGTGAAAAACAATGACACGCACACGACAGGCCGGGTACCATAAATCCATCTGCTGCACGGCAAAAACTGGAGACGCAACAACAACGTACAGCGCGCCAACAATCACGAGGCCAATGAGATCGGTGCGAGGTTCATCCCGGTTGGAGCGGGTGACCGGACTACGAACTGGTACCGACTGTGCTCATTGGCAACCGGATTACGCAAGTGACCAATGGTTGACCAGGTAGCGAAAATTTCGAGGACCGCGGGGGGGGGGGCTGCCTCACGCTGCTCAAGGCCATCAGTAAGATCAACGCGATTCCAACCCATTCCACCGAACCCGATTCAATCACCACGTTCCAACCCAGCCAACACATTAAATAAAAAGGGACGCGGCGACCCGACTTTCCAAAAGAAAACAAAGAGCAAACATCCAGACCTGTAGCTTCCATGTCGACCCTGGCGAGACCGGTCTCTACCCGATCCTCTTCGGCTTCGAGGATGTCCTTGAAACACCTGATAGGGTGGACGATGGAGGGCAGACGACACAGCTTGGTTTCACGCAAAGGCGGGGCGGCATCAGCTTGACGCACCAGCAGGAGGGCTCGCCGCCTCCTGCGGTGCATGCACATGCATGCAATCACTTCGCTTGTCTGGCACGAGAAAGAGCGAACGAATGAATCAGTCGCCCCTTCCCTCCTGGGTGCGTGTACTCACACTAACGACATTCGAACCGGAGGTTTTTCAAGCGTACACAATGAACCACAGCGTGAACCGAACCGCCGTGTGAACCGAACCCACAACAGTGCGGACCCGCTCATAAAAAAATGTTTGCGAGTGAAATGTATAACAACAACAGCAAGGACAACGACAACATCATCAACAGCAACGACGACGACAACAACAACAACCAACCTGAGGGCTTGCACCAGCACTTCGTCGCCGGCCCCCTCAGCGAGGGCGGCCCCCACCACGCCGTGCTGGTCCGCGAGCAGCATCAGCCTCGGGGCGCCGATCAAGAGTTGGCCCAACCCCTGTCACGCGTGCACGTGCCGCGGGCAGCCAAACGTCAGGACACACACACATGCACAAAACATGCACAAAAGACGAGCGAGTTGCCACAACCGGGCCTACCTTTACCAGGACGAATGTTGCAAAAAAAAAAAAAGAGAGGAAGGCATACCTGAAGTCGTCAGGCAAAGCACTTCAGTGAGCAAAATACCTGGGCTATACACAGGTTTCGGAAAAAAACGTCCATAGGTGCGTCGACCACTGAGATTTGAGGGGAAAAAAAAACGCCAATCGGGTAATCCACCGCTGAGTGTCCATGAGCTTGAAAATACGTAAACGAGCACAGGACAAATCGACCACCACGCCACTCCGCGGTTGAGAGTGATACCAAGAACAAAAAATATATGCTTTTCAGCGCACGTCACCAATGCCGTCAACACCCCTAACCTTTCACGGAGGGCTGCTGTCACAAAACAAACGATAAAAGTGAGGAAGCAAAACCTAAAGCCTCATGGTTAAGGGCCACATGCCAAAGCCACCGCCGTTTGCTTCAGCGATCGCGACTGCTGCATTACCTGAAGCGCCTTGGATCGAAGGTGCGGCCCTTTCGCCTTGGTGAAGTAGACCCGAAGCATCTCGAAAACCTCCAAGCGCGCTCCCTATTGACAAAAGATAACGTAACATACCGTTTGCAGGGAGCCGATGCCAACAACCGCACCGGGATCAAGAAAGCAAGAGTCAGCCGGAGAACTGCACTAACAATCGAACCGCCTTTTTCCTGCGCATATTCTACTACGGGGAGAGATAGCGGGGAGGGGGGGCGTGAAGAGTTGATAAGAGAAAAAAATCCGCCGAAAATGTTGCCGCGTTTTATTCGTGCAAATGTTGCCCTCGCTTGAAGCCTTCAAGCTCCCGTGAAAACATCGATTGACAACCGTAAGACAATAACAAACCAATACGCGCAGACCATTAAGCCACAGAAAGACAAATTCCGCTGCTGCAGTTGCTGCAGCTGCTGCACCCCTCATCCCCCTCCCCCCCCGGTGTTTGCCATCGGGGTTGGGTTTTGGTCGCTTGGCAACGACGTTGTAAAACAAGCCGCGCCCCCCGGCGTTTGCCATCGGGATTGAGTTTTCGTCGCTTGGCAAAGACGTTGTAAAACAAGCCGCCCCCCCGGTGATTGTCATCGGGGTTGGGTCTTCGTCGCTTGGCAACGACGTTGTAA